AAATTATTGTTGCACTTCTGAGCATAACTTTCAAATTTAAAAAACCTATGAAAAGAAAATTTGAGACAAATTTTTTTATATATATTAATAGACTCCCCTTTTAAAGCTGAATTGAATGGTGGTAAGTTTTTTAAAATCTAATGTGTGGATCACATAATATTTCAAAAAATTTTAACTTTTGAGTATAGATGATCCGCACTGTATTCTTTCTATTACTTGAATTATTTACTAAAATTTTCCCTTATATGGGTATTTTCTGTATTTCGGAGCATGGTTATTTTTCTAATGCGGCTATACAGCACGCTCAAGGATCTCGTTATAATTTGCTGCTTACTTCATCGAATCAAATTCTAGAGATATCAAGAGATTTTGTGTAGGTCCTCAGGGGTTGATTTGTAAGGAGGTTTCGAAGGAAGTTTTAAAGATTCAGGAAATTGAAGAATAGGGAAGAAGGGAAATACTATTAAATCAGGAGGAGGTTTTGAGGACGAATGATTGTTTAGAGAGGGAAATAAAGGATTTAAATAGGAGAATGCTTGGGTTTGAAAGGAATCTTCAGGAAAGTAGAGAAGAGGATAGAGTTCGTGATAAAGATAGGAAACAACGAGATTCTAGATGTTTTTGGGCTTTTATTTTGGCTTTTATTTCTATTATGACTTACTTTTATATATTGCTGTATATATTTACATTATATAAATAAATATATCAATTATCATGCTAATGTAGATAGATAACTGTGAGCTTCAATGACCACACCTATTCTTTGGGCTCGCAATTACTATCATTATCCTCATTATTACAATTAAATAAAATATTACTGCTACTTGAAAAATCATTATTTCTACTACTACTAATAACAACTGGATTATCTTTTTTCTGATTTTTTAAATTTTCCTTGGTGAAAGTGACCTGTGAGTTCCTGACCATTAGTCAGGATGTTACATAATTTTTATTTAAAATTAAGGCATTAAGACGTGTGCAGTAAAATTCTTTTTCCGAGTATTTGTAATAAAGTTGTATAAATTAATATCAAACATGCAAGATCAAAAGGGATTAGATTTATTAAAACTGGAGTTGGAGCAAATAACAAAAGAAAGAAATATGCTTGAAGCTGAGATTATGAAGCTAAAACAGATTATAGAAGAAAATGCTAAACGTGAAGCCAAGGGTATTAACCTTACATCAGTAATATTTTGAGCTTAAGGACCCTCAGGGTTTCCTTAAAATGCTACAGAATCCTTAAAGGATCCTTAGTTTTTGTAGATCTTTCAAAATTTTTAAATTTCTTGGATCTGTAAGGATTCTTTGATACAAAATTTACAAAGATCCTCAAGGAACCTTGGTAGTCAAATCAATTAAGCTTATAAAATTAAACTTTTTAAATAAATATGTACACTTTTTTAAATTTTTTTTTTTAAATAGACTCTAATGTTTAAAAATATTTCAAATAAACTTGAGCAATTGATAATTCCTGAAGATACTTAACAATCTTTAGAAACTTGCACTAAAAACATTTAAAGCTCAATTATCCAACCTTGGTCTCTATCCTGATGATTGAGAATTTAAAACTTGTTTTGAAGCAATGTTCAATCATAGTTTCAGAAGATTTGATAGTTGAGGACAGCAATGATAATGACGGTAGTAGCAATAGTAATTTTGTTAATGATAATATCAATTATGATATAACTATCAACAACATTGTCCTCAATAATAATAAAAGCAGTGGTGATAGTAATTTTTCAGATATAAGTGTTACTTCTGATACTCCTTTAAGGATAACGGAGCTGACTGAGGAGAATGAAAGTGAAGAAGGGTTATGATAGAATTGGAATTAAACAAAGGTAGCAGCATGAGGTGTTATACTTATGGTGAAGAGGTACCTGATCTTCCTAGCAATTTGGTTGTCATTAACAAAAATACAGGTCAAGGCAATAAAAATAAAGGCTTGTTAAGCGACGAAGCATTAGAGTTAATAATAATTGGTATTGGAAGCAAACCATTTGTTATTATTTTAAGTAACTGATCGATAACAATTTTATTATTATAGTAAACTTATTAAAGTGGCTAATGGAATATTGGAAGAGCATCAAAATTATGTGCCAATAAAAATATGTGAAGCTTCATCCAATTACAATTGATTTGGTTCATGGTTTTTCTCAATTCCTTGATTAATCTTATCAATTTATTTGTTAACACTTTTTCTTTTTCTAATGGTACTGATGCTAGAGAATTTATTTGTAGGATTGATGTGATCCTTTCGATAGTTTCATCTTTTCTGATGTTTGCTTTTTGCATTTACAGGATGATTGTTGACGATCCTTATCAATTTCGCTTTTGACCAAAACAATTTTAATTCTGTTGATGGTATTTATTAATAGATATTTGTACACCAAAGAAAAAATTTGGGTACTATCGAAATTTACAGACATGCAAAAATCATTATTGAACAATCAAAGGACATCAGGATGAATACTATAAAAATTTCCAATCTTGATCATCTTTATTGTTTAGAATATTAAAATACCATTTGTTCCATCTTTGACTGAGGCAAAAGTTGTACACGATGGTTTGGTTCATAGTTTTCCATCCGCTTTGTTGGTGGAAGGTGATGTTATTGAAATGATATATGGTGACATCGCCCCTTGTAGAATAAAAGTGATTTCTCAGGATCTTAGCAGTGATCTCAACAATAAGGAACAAGATAATAAGGAACGTCATCACAATCACAACTAAGGTTGCGGGAGAAACTCCTCCAGAAATCAATCGACAGAGTTTCGACAGGTTACACATTAATTGTTTATTAGAGTTTCGGCAGAGTTTCGCATTTGGGGTTTTCGCCAATCATCAGAGTTTTGACAGGTTACACATTAATTGTTCATTAGAGTTTCGACAGAGTTTCGACAGTCATTAAGAGGTTTTGCCCACAACCTTAGTCCCAACAGTATGCAAATAGACAGGTGCGACTGTATGTATTTTACTTTTTTTGATATAATGTGTCCTTTAGTTTATAAATATTTTAATTGGAAATCAAAACATGGAGCAGATCTTGTTGGGTAATTATAAGATCCTTATCAAGATTGTAAACGATTGGTATTTTGCTTTTCATAATCGTTAATAATAATAATATTATTATTATTATTATTACAATTACAAGATGTTGAGGCAGCATGACTGACACTTGAAAAAGAAACAATTTAAATATGCAATGTTTGATTATCGGGAATTTACAGACATTGAAGCACGCACGCTACCTTGAACACTTTACAGTCATTCACACATCTTCCTCGTGTACACAAGGCTAATCTTGACCTGGCGACCCAAAGATATGACGATGCAACAGAATTCCAGAAGGCGCATAGATCTGGAGTTTACCAAGACTGCATCATCCATTGTCAATGACACTTCACTAATCTTCCCAGACCAGAGAAGGCTGCTGGCATGCTGGCTGAAAAGTTGCCTGCAATGATTCTACTTCTAGGGTAAGGCTGGCTCTGTAATTGAGAAGCTTTGAAAAGTTGTGATATTAGTGCACATAAACATCCAGATCCATCAAAGCAATGAGAATCTGCAACTCATTCCAAGCATAGGAGGTTACAATTCAGAGCAGGGTTGGTGGCCCTGAAATTGCATTTGGGTTATGATGTTAAGAGGAAAGTTGTAAAATAATGTTTGTTTTGTATAATCATTTTCACCAATTCTGTTTCTTTGATGCTAACCAATTTAAAATTTTGGGTAGGGGACTGATTGGGCAAAAACCCATTCAGTCCCCTGTCCTATAGATTAAAATTATCACATTATTATATATATATTTGTCAGCAATATGGCGAACAAGAAAAAAGTCATAAAATGGTTCAGATTTTGTTTGGCATGCTATATATAAATTAATCATTTTCCCAAATTTTCTGTTTCTTTAATTTTATTTGACCAACTGAATTTGTTACTTAAGTAAAGGGGGTGGGTTGTTGGTGAGTTGGCATGCCACCAACAAGACAGTAACCTAGGACTCAAAACTCTGAATCCAAAACAGCAACCCAGGTTGCAACATCCTGAGTTGCAGACACCAACTTTATTCTAGAGGGGTATAACACAAAGCAATCATCACACAAGCACCAGCTATCAGTGATCAATGCCCATATGGTAACAGCCAGCCTGGTCTGAGAGGAAGATAAGGGAATGTTTTGTCCAAAGCCTTCAACTTGTTCAAACCACTTTCACCTGTAGAAAAAAATTCCATGGTGCTGAATTGATGCTTTGCATGGAGTTTGCATGTTTGTGATAGGAAATTTTAATTAAATCTGACACCTGCAATCAACATCAGATTTATCATTCATAAGAAACCATAATTGATAATCAGGAAAAATAATTTATTTTGTGAACCCCCCAAGATCTGGGTAGACACACATTATTAAAAGTTTCATTTTTGCATGGCCTTGGTATTGTTACTACCTGGGTGATGCAATTGTTTGTTATGTCAATTATGACATCAAACATATTGAATAATAATCATGACCATCATGAATATTTGATGGATGGAGGCAATCACATCCAAGGAAATGATTAATTCGTGATCCACCAGTTAAGGAAAGGATTTAATTAATGCCAAACTGGGCAAATTTTTTAAATTTCATAGGTAATCTTTCTTTCCTTAGATAAGCTTCCAGTGTCTGAGTATCATTCATTTTGAAAATGTAAGGAGCAATTTTTTCACCTTGTTCTTTCTTCAGAATACTTCTAATGGTGCTGTAATTTTTGGGTTCCATGGTAGACCTAATGTAAATTAACTTCATATTAACTATTTTTATATAGAGGGATAGTTCTATATATCACTTAACAAATGAGACATTATAAAACTGTTAATTATGATCACATTACAAATGATTAAATTTTGATACCTGAAATTCTTGGTTATACCAATGTTCACTTTGTCTGATTTTGTTGCAGCATGCCCCATATATGAAATAGAGTTGCCTTTTCCAAAACTAAAAACCCTTTAAAATTGCTTTAGAAATGGTTTAGGAATTGCTGGCTCAAGTATGAAAACCGTCCCATTCATTTATCAAGAGAGGGCACAAACCTGAATTTTTCATTCAACCTTTTATAATGTTTCAACAAATGAATTCTTGATTACTATCCTCATTCAAATTTTTACATATTTTTTAATATAGCTAAAAAAAAATATCATTTTATTATTAATATTTAATGTAAGAAAGCATCAAAATCAATCTGATGCAACATTAATCTCTATTTCAGGATTTTTTTTTAATATGTTTTTATCTATAAAAGGGAATTTTCATGATGTGACCATGCTGGAAAGGGAGGAGAGAAGTCAATATTGTATATTGATGTTTGATGTTAAGGAGATGTTGAAAATCAACTTTTGTTAAATTTGATTTTTGGGAGGAATTTTCTATTATATTTTTTTTTTTTGTGTAAAATTGACTTTGAGATCAATAAATGTTTCTACTTTCAATGACACCTGATAGCCTTCCATTTTTTCTCTTGTCGGCCTTTTAACTTGTGCTTGATTTTCTCTGCTATCTTCTTCCATGTTGAAACCAACATGAATTAATAATTATTTACAAGAATAAGAAAAAACCAATATATATCTTTTTTTTTGTCATGAAGACAAAAAATGCATTATTGTTTATTATATCGAGATAAAATCATTAATGAATCAAAAGAATCTTAGCAAACAAAACCATTATTTTTTTGATGTGGCTTACATTACCTTTCTAAAACTTGTAATAAAATTTAAAAGTTTTAAATCACATTCAACATTATCAATATAGATTGACACTTCCAAAGAATTCCAACCAAAAAAGATCTCATCAACAAAGTGAAGACAAGTCTAAAGGGAGAAAACTAAATCTTTTTGAATTTATACTTTTGGCTAATTACTCCAATTATCTATCCTATATGGAGGATATTGAATAGTTAAATGGACAAGAAAAATAAATTTTGGTATACAATTATGGTGTTAAATTTTCTGTTACATTTGTCTGGTTCTGTTGACATATAATTGATTTTTCAAAAGTAAGTGATTGTGGTTCATCATTGTTACAAAGAATGAGTTTGCAGAATTGTATGGATCATTTCCAAGCCAGAGCAAAACACCTTTTTAATGGCATTAAAAAAGAAAACTTGTATCAATGACAGAGCCTTCTACTGTTGAAATCATAACACACTTTCTCTGGCAGAAAACCTATCTCAATATGTCAAAAATTGGTCTGGCTTATTTCAGAAATCATTCAAAAATGATAGTTCATATGACTGCAGCAAAATATTTTCTTTTAAATTATGCAGAGGTTCATATTTGCTTTGTTGCAGTATACTAATACTAAACACTATGCCAAAAAATAAGTTTATAATTTATTGGTAACTTTTTTTTAAAAAATAAATAAAAATAAATGACAAGCCTTTCATTTATTTATTTATACAATCCAAAGCTTTTAAGTGATTTAAATAATCTTTACGAAAACTATTGTCATCAACTGGACCTATAAATACCAATATATATATATACACACACACAAGTAAATATGAATTAATGATTCTTTTTTTGTGAAAATGAATGAAATAACTTACGATTAAGTGCTACCCGTATTGGTTCCTTGTGATATTAATATTAGATTATAAATTGTTGTTAAATTATTTGATTATATATTTTTTTAATCATTTGTAATATTAATGAAAATATTACCTTTTTAAATAAACCTAAAAAACATGATATTAATAATTAAATAAACATTAGTAAATATTATTTTAATAACCATAAATGATAATAAAATACTTACGCATAGCCTTCATGTAATCATTGGTGTCAGGTGTGAAACGATGATAAATTCCCGGAGGCTTTCATATAAAAATGAATGTATTAATTTATTAATCACATATATATATATATTCTTAGATAATATATTGTAATTTATTAATTACAAAAACAATCAAATCTCCTTTAGTAAGTGCAATGCGAATCCATTTGTCGTGCAAATCTAAATCAAGTTCAAGTAAACATAAATATTTGTAATTATGTAAAAAAAGATATTTCCACATTTCAAAGATACATGCCTCGAACATCAACATATCCAGAACCATCAAGAATATAACGAATTTCTTCACCTTCATGAAAATGTCTAATTTAACAACAACAACATAATAATTATAATTAGTATTTATTTATAAAATAATACAAAGTAAAGAAAATTATTAGCTATTTCATTTACTTACTCTTCATAAAAAACTTTCATTTTACTATCATACAAATCACCCATTGCTTCTCTTGAGAATGTAATCTATATATTTATATATATATATATATTAATAATAAAAGGATTTCTCCTCCCAAAGAATAATTCAAAATCGTTACTTCATCATGACTTTTATAATCGGATATTTTTTTAATTTTATCAAGAAAATCCTCTCCTTCTATATACGAGTATAAAATACCAATATGTGCAAGTTCTTCAATGGTAACAATGGCAAGTGGACTTTTTTCATGAGGTTTTTTTGGGTCTGAACAATCATTGTTATCATGATAATAAGCATACATTTTTATCGAAAATTTTATAACAGTCGGTCAGTGCATAATAATAACATTTAAATTCGTGGTCCACCGATCAATGATAGGGGATCGTCATTAATAAAATTAATCGAATGACATATTGTCCCCCTCAAATGTAGGTAGATCATTGCAGCCGCTAAACAATTTTTTTTTTTTCAAAAATTTTTGATTATAAATTATGTCATTTTGATATGTAGCACAACTGGTTTTATCCTTTTTTTTTTGTTTACTATACTATTACACTAAACTTTTTTCTTCTCGCACTATTGTCATGATGATCATTATGATACAGTAACATCATACATAAAATTTTGCGATTGCAATTACATGTTTGTATACAAATTCTGATTAGCCAATTATCTCGTCCAACCTTTAAAAAATTAAAACATCTGTGCAATGTCATCAAAGGTTATAAATACAGAAATACGAATAATAATAGTAAAGATAATAAAATCACATTATCAGATTGGGTAACTATAAGTTCCTTATTGATGTGTGATTGTAATTATTAAATGTTTATTACTATTCGCTGGAAAGAAAGGCGGTGATCTGTTGACCCGAACAGACTAATTTGACGAGGGGGTATTTGTTTATTTAAATTGTTTATTGACATTCAAAATAACCAATGATAATAATAAAAATAACATTATAGTATATAGCAGTGGATACATAAATTATATAAAAAATGACAAAATTTTTTTATTTTGCCATTGTAGGACAGCGGTAGGAACATTTTATAGGACAGTTGCTTTGGAGGATGGTAAGGTATTTTTTAGGGTAGTTGCTTTGGAGAATGATCTTCGAATGAGAATATTTTGTTAACTTTGTTTAAACATTTCGCTGCACGCTTTGTTATTATACTTTCACTACTAATGGATATCTATTTAGATGTTATGTCTATGTTGTGCGTGAAAATCAAATTTGTGTCAATTTGAAATTTACCAATTAAAATTCTGATTGGCTAATTTGAATTTCACGCGCGTGAATTTCAAATTGACGCAGATTCCAAACTCACGCACAACATCTATTTATATAAATTATATTGGTTCTTGTTCTTCATGGAGAAGCTAAAATTGGGGTGTGTCTGTGAGTTGGAATACGTATATAACGTAAAGGAGTTAGAATATTTAGTAATATATAACAAATTATGACCATTGTGATAATATAATTGTTCTTTGTGAATGCATCGGATATTAATGCGCTTTTATATATATCAGAAAAAAAAATTTTTTTAAATAAAGAACTTTTATTAAATAGAAAATCATGCACATAACTAAATTCACTCAAAACTTTTATAACGCATTACTAAATTCAAATTTTTAGGATTTCAATATTTTATATTTTAAAAAAGTCTGATTATGATTGAAAATTCTAAAGTCTGGTTGGTTCGAGTATTTCCGGAACAATCTCAATCTTTGCTCCTTGTATCCAGAAAAGAAAAATCTATGACCACATCCGGTATATTCAACTGGTTTGAATGGAGTTGTCCTACCGAATGTGATAACGCAGGGTATATTCACGCACGTACAATATCAAATATTGAAATACGGACCTTTATTCTCGATTGAAAACATTATGAATAATTAAGTGAGGCGATTTTTGATCAAAGCTACACTTTATAGAAATAAGTATATTGAGAAAAATACAAAATTTTTGTTAAAGAAATAATTATGATTAGTGATTTTGAGAGCAAATAATTAGTAAATGTGCGTAAACTTATCAATGGATTTTTGGAAAAAAAATTTTCTATTAATAATGTATTAATATCAGCATAGTGGAAATTTGAAATGTTACACTAATTTTTTATATTGTGCAACGTAGCTTTACAATACACGGCAAACATTCTTGAATTGGATCTGAACTTGATCTCCAATTTAGAGAGGTAACAACTATATACTGGCGAAGTTTCAGAATCAATGAGTTCTGTATAATGTTTCGTGTAACAACAAACTTTCACTATGCTTTAAATATCTCTTTCAAGGCCGAAATTATAGAAATTGAATACATGATTTCTTGTAAATTTTTCTCATCAAATACTTGGGCTAAAAAAAATTTTATTTTTCTCAATTTTTTATAAAAATTATATTTGAATTTGATTTAATAAAAGATAATCAATCATTTACCATTCAATCTAGAAGTTGGATGGGTTGGACGGAACCTGTCAAAAAAACTCTGATGGTTAAAACCAGTTAAGTATATAGATTTTTTTTTTAATTTAAGCAGATCTATAAAAATAATATAATTTTAATAATGCCTCATAAATAAAATTTTACAAAAAATGTTAGTATGTTATTTGCTGATTTAATAAAATTTTTAAAAATTTCTAAATAATGAACAATTCTTATGTTTGCTCATTATGAATCAACTGTTACTATATATAATAATAATAATAATAATAGAGTTAATAACACTAAAGCATATGATAATTATGATGATGACAATAAATTATAATTTACCAAATTACAATGCTTCAAAGATTTCCATTCTCTTGTGCTTAGCTGATAATGTGAATGTGGCTTCATTTCACCTACTGAAACAAAGATTTACAATTAAAGTGGGATGTTTTTAAGATGCAGGTCAGTTGGTCTTTCAATTTACAGTGTCCTCTCTATACAGCCTACATTCTATAACTAACTGGGAATTGGGTCCCAATTTTTTACTATATAAAAATCCCACTCTATAACAGTATTCTTAATAAAATTTCCTATAGTACATAATGGCCTGTCCCTGAAATTCACTAGTATGTTTTATATAGCTGCCTATAACAGCCAACAATCATGATTTGAAATTATAATCGCTATACATACATCAGGATATTAATTTAGCATAAACTTGCATAAATCTTACGATGCCGATGTAATATTGTGTAAATCTTACAGTGCCGACGTAAGTTTTACACTTTTTTATTATTAAACTTACAATTGACACATGTAAAATTTTTTTATATTTTCCGGATGTATGTAAACTCAATAAGTTGGCCAAAATTTACACTCCATTTCTTAACATTTAAGTAATTTAATTCAATAAGTCAGTTTACTCAATAAGTTGGTCATATGAGCTCACCCCCACATGACTGACTTATTGAGTTTACATATGTATTAGGAAAGTTTCTGTAAATCAAAATTAGAATAAATCATGATCACATTACAGTATTAGGATTATGAGTCACATGAAAAGGACAGGGGACAGTTAGAAACCTTTAACATATTGAATTCCTGATGCCTCAAGTAGTGTGATTTTAAACATTATTGGTGACTCTGCAATAGAGTAGAGTTTCTAATTTTTCTACTAATTCAGGTGGGAAAACTCTAGATGCAAAAGCTCAGCAAAATATGGCACTAAATACTGTGTCCAATCCACCAATACCTATCTTCAAACTTAAATTCAGGCTGTATAATAGCCATGTTGAAAAAATGAACAAATATATATTAGATTAACTATTGTTATTTTTTAAACTAGAACTAGAGTGATGAAACGTTGCAAGTGGTAATAACCATTACTATGATAACACTTACCCATATGAATCTTTTGTTTCTTCTGTTTTTCTTCTTTTTCCTGGATGATAAGACATATTTTTAAAAAAAATTTCCCTATTGGTTTTTTTTGTTGACATGATTGATTTTTTATTTTTGTTTTTGGAAAACAATTTTTTTTTACAAGTAAATGTTGTCTGATATGGTATAGGTCTCTTAAAGAATACAAGATGCTGTTTATTGATGGTGAGAGGTATACAATTTTTCATTGGAAAAAAATTTTTTTTTTCTTTTTTTTACAATGAGGTAATATCACATAATTTTATTTATTGTATATAAGACAATGAATTACACAAAAAAAAGAAAATGACTGCCCCTAGTAAACTAAAAATTCACCACGAAACCAACCTTTCACCATTACCTACTAAATCAAGCCCAGTAAAAGTATTAAGATTTAACACGTGACATTCAAACATAGATAAAAGCAAATGGTTGTTACCCATTATAATAATCTAAAAGGAAACCACCCTGATGCAATTGCATATTATGTACCCTTAGAACCATTGGATAAATTGTTTGTATCTCTATTTAGACTACTAGAGGAGTTGTTAGTAGTTTTTATTGGAAAATATTTTCTTTTTAAATAGAACCTACCAAAATGGCAATTCATTCTACAAAAAAAGGAAACTAAATTGTAGCTCAAAATTTTGTAAAATCAATGTGACATTTATCAATGATGTGATGATTAAATTTGTGGGCTGGGGTGGCAGGAATTACAGAATGTTTACCAACTCTAGGCAAGATTAGAAAGAAATTATTATAATAAAAATACCAAATTGGCTGAAGAACAAAGAAACTAATTGGCCAAAATTACTCAAAGGGTAAAACACAATATTGCAATGTTGATGTTACTGCTCATTACAGTTATGATTGAGCCCAAAATGTTCATGTACCACATTCTGACCAACAAGTAAGTAATTTATTATCTTAGTTCACATAAAGTCCATTTATTTGGTATTCAAGATGAAGTAGTAAGGGAACAAATTAATTATGTACTT